GTTTAACGGACTAATCACACAGCTTGCCAACCTCGGAGTGAAAATCGAGGAAGAAGATAAAGCTATCTTGCTATTTAACTCGTTGCCATCTTCGTACGATAATTTGGCAACAACCATCCTGCACGGTAAGACTACTATTGAGTTGAAAGATGTCACATCGGCTCTTCTACTCAATGAGAAGATGAGAAAGAAGCCTGAAAATCAAGGACAGGCTCTCATCACAGAAGGTAGAGGCAGGAGTTATCAAAGGAGTTCGAACAACTATGGTAGATCCGGAGCTCGTGGGAAGTCAAAGAACCGATCCAAATCAAGAGTCAGAAATTGCTACAACTGTAATCAACCAGGTCACTTCAAAAGAGATTGCCCAAATCCAAGGAAGGGCAAAAGTGAAACCAGTGGCCAGAAGAATGATGACAACACAACCGCCATGGTGCAAAACAATGATAATGTTGTCCTCTTTATAAATGAGGAAAAGGAATGCATGCACCTATCAGGTCCAGAGTCGGAATGGGTGGTTGACACAACGACAACTTACCATGCCACACCGGTAAGAGGTCTTTTTTGCAGATATGTAGCAGGTGATTTCGGCACAGTGAGAATGGGTAACACAAGTTACTCAAAGATTGCGGGGATTGGTGACATTTGTATCAAGACAAATGTCGGATGCACATTGGTTCTAAAGGATGTGCGGCATGTACCTGATTTGCGGATGAACTTGATCTCGGGAATTACTTTAGACCGAGATGGATACGGGAGTTATTTTCCAAATCAAAAGTGGAGACTCACTAAGGGATCATTGGTGATTGCAAAGAGAGTTGCTCGTGGCACGTTGTACAGGACAAATGCAGAAATATGCCAAGGTGAATTGAACGCGGCACAAGATGAGATTTCTGTAGATTTATGGCACAAAAGAATGGGTCATATGAGCGAGAAGGGATTGCAGATTCTTGACAAGAAATCACTCATTTCTTACGTCAAAGGTACAACGGTAAAACCTTGTGACTACTGTTTATTTGGTAAGCAGCATAGAGTCTCATTTCAGACATCGTCTGAAAGAAAATTAAATATACTTTATTTACTATATTCTGATGTTTGCGGCCCAAAGGAAATTGAATCAATGGGCGGTAACAAATATTTTGTTACTTTTATTGATGATGCTTCACGAAAATTATGGGTTTATATTTTGAAAACCAAAGATCAGGTGTTTCAAGTTTTCCAGAAGTTTCATGCTCTAGTAGAAAGGGAGACGGGTCGAAAGCTAAAGCGCCTCCGAAGTGACAATGGAGGTGAGTAAACTTTAAGGGAATTTGAAGAGTATTGTTCAAGTCATGGGATCAGACATGAAAAGACAGTTGCTGGAACCCCACAGCATAATGGCGTAGCCGAGAGGATGAACCGCACCATTGTGAAGAAGGTGAGAAGCATGCTCAGAATGACTAAACTGCCTAAGTCATTCTGGGGTGAAGCAGTTCAGACAACATGTTACCTAATCAATAGGAGTCCATCAGTTCCGTTGGCGTTTGAAATCCCAGAGAGAGTGGACCAACAAGAAGGTGTCCTACTCGCATCTGAAGGTGTTCGGTTGCAGAGCTTTTGCACATGTACCAAAAGAGCAGAGAACAAAGCTAGATGATAAATCCGTTCCCTTCATATTTATCGGATATGGAGATGAAGAGTTCGGGTACAGACTGTGGGATCCTGTAAAGAAGAAGGTCATCAGAAGCAGAGATGTAGTCTTCCGAGAAAGTAAAGTTGGAACTGCTGCTGATATGTCAGAAAAGGCGAAGAATGGTATAATTCCTAACTTTGTTGCTATTCCTTCTACTTCTAACAATCCCACAAGTGCAGAAAGTAC